GCATTCTTGCTATTAGGATTTGATTAAAGATTTTTTTAAGAACTGGGACTATTTGTTTCTCCGTAAGCTTATAGAACTCGTATATGAGACCATCTATTCCTGATGATTTGTTGTTTGGAAGCTACTTTATTGTTTGACTGATTTCTTCTTGAGTAATAGGTTTGGTTAAACCTATGTTTAGTTCTTCTGAGACTTGTGTGAGGTTGCTAGTTAATTTGTCAATTGCTTTCTGATTTGTTTTTTTTTTTTTATAAATCTTTTTATATTGTTCTTTAATGAACTTCAGAGTATCTTCTTTTCTGTTCTTGTTTATATTGTTAAGCTCTTTGACCATTAAGAGAGCCAAGTTTGTATGTCAGGACTTGTAGTAAGAGAAAAAGTATTTTGTAGACTTCTCTCCTTGTTCAATCCATCTTGCTTTTGAGCGAATTTGCTATCTGTCTGCCAGTAGAGTCAGTTTTTCTTGCATGAAAGAGTAAGATCTTCACATGTAGAGTATAAGAAGAATTTAGTTAGATCTTCTGCGATTTGTTTCTGAAGTTTTATAAGTTTTTTGTTAATCTTTGAGAACTTGTTTTCTGGAGCTTTTGGCTTTTTGAAGGCTCTTATAATTGACTGAATTCTTAGCTTCTGTAGATCTCACTCTGATAGTTCTTCAAAAGACATAATTTCCTCTATTATTTCTTTTTTCAAAAGTTCATTTTTAAAAAAATTCTTATCAAACCTTCAGTTAGAAGGTTGATTGATCTTATGTCTTTTGGCCAAAGTGTATTCAATTAGTAAATGGTCTAAGTTTTCAAAAAGCAGCTTTGTAGATAATATAAGATGTTTATAATTCTTATTTATAAAGATATAGTCAAGTCTAGTTGCTATTGTTTGATTGTTTTGGACCTTTTGATAAAATGTGAGGAAATGTTTTTGCTTTGCATATATAGCAGAGTCTATGTAGTTCTTTGCCAAATTTTTAAGTTGAGTTCTAATATTGTTATTTTGTAGTATAGCTTGGCTTATTCTGTCTATAGTCAGGTTTAAATTTGTATTAAAATCTTCTGCCAGAATATTGATAGTATTTTCTTTGTATTGTGGAGACCATTTGTCAAAGAAAGCTGTTCTGTTTTTTATATTTGAAGAAGCATATAGATTTATAACTGAAAAAGATCAACTTCTGTATGTGAAGCTTGTAAAGATCACTTTTTCTTCGTGTAGAATCTCAGTATTTTGAAATTTTATTTCTTTTCTTTCTGCCAGTATAGTGGTCTTGTTTGTTCAAATTGATTTATAAATCTATTACTTTTTAATGAAAGTTTGTGTTGCCTGGTTGTTTAGATTTGTTTCTTGTAATAGTATTAGGTCTAAGTTATAAGATTTTAAAAGTGTTATTGTTTTTTGTCTTTTGTTTTGATCATTAAGTCCCTTTATATTTAGGGTAGCAATTTTAATTATTGCTTTAGTCATTAAATATTATAAAATTAAGTGTGCTCATATTGAGCTTTTGGAAAATTCTTCTCTGTTTGTCCTTTCTTGTATGAAGCTTGTCTTACTATTGCTTGCTTATGTATATTTTGATTTGTTTGTTTTTTTTTCCTCTTGTAGGATATAGTTGTAAAGTCTTCTTCTATTAAAATTGCTGATGATATATTCTCTTGAGAAGAGTTATTCTCTTTGTTATTATCTTTAAAAGATAGACCATCTAATGCAAGCTCATCTCTTGTTGTAAGTTCTGTTTCTAAAAAAGTGGTTACTTGTTTAGTTTCTTTTTGAGTATCTTCCATTTTATCATCTGTACTATAAGAGATATCCTTTATCTCTTGCTTATCAGGTGTTTCTATACTCATTGCTTCTTTTTTCGATTCCTCTTTCTCTTCAGTTTTTAAGAGACTTTCTACTTTTTGAGCTGTTTTGCTAAGATAGTCTCTGTTTTTTGTCTTGGAGGTTTCTTTAAACTCTCAATAGTGCTGTTTTAATACAACTAACTTTTTGAATTAAAAACATTTTTTTTATATACTCTTCCTGGTTACAGAAGTAGCAGACTTTAGAAGCTGCCTTCTATTTAGTTGTGATTTTGTTGTCTCTAAGATAAGTGAAGTAAGGGATTTATTTTTTTAAATTTCTATCTTTTGTTGTATCAAAAATGACAATCTATTGATCAGTTAAATATGATATTCTCTTAATTACCAATGGTTTAATTGAGACTATTTTGCCAAAATCTTGAAATGCATCTTTGATTAGCATTGTTATTTCTTCTTTTCTTTCTAATAGAATATTCCTAAGCTTTACTAGAAGAAAAGACTTGTGTGAGTCTATTGTAATATAACCAAAGTATGATTTGTTAAAGATGTTGATACTCTTGGCCTTATGATGACTAAGAGTATTCTTGTTGAAAAAAATAATTTTTAAGTATATGCGGTTACCCTTTTTGAAGTATTGCTTTGTTGCTATAACATCTTGTTTAATACTTTCATAAAGTGAGATTATTATTTCATTGAAAGAGCCTTGAATATCTTGTATTTCAATAATTAATGCATTCTCATTCTTGGTTCTTATTTGTTCTCTAGGAGAGAAGTTTGCATAAGTCGATTGGCCTTTTTTTAATTTTGCAAATAGGCTTGACTACTTTTGTTGATTGTATCTCTTGGTTGACTAGTATCTGCTTTAGCTTTTTATTTTAAAGTTAAGCTTCCAATGTATAGATTATTTTCTAAGAATTCTGTAGCCTCTGGTGTATTTTGTTCTATTGGTTGTTCTTGATCTATAGTCACATGATTTTGTATATGTTCTATAATATGACTTGTTTTGTTGTTTTGTTGTTGTTCTTTGTTTTTACATATTAATGTATTTGTAGAGGTCAAGCTTTGGCTTTCTTCTTCTAGAGATGCTAGTTCCTCTCAACTAGTATTTTTTGCAATTGTTTTGATTGCTTGTGTTGAAGTGGTAGCATTTGCAGTAGTTTTTTCTTCTTGTTGTTGTTTTGATATACTGTTTATTTCTCTTTGTTTATTGAAGAGAAAGTTTTGTATTTTTAGTTTTTTGTTGCAGGTTTCTTGTATTCTAAAAGGAATATATCTTTTTTTCTTTGATATAAGGGCTAGTGCTCTTGTTGGGCCTTGTTTTAAGTTGTTTGTAAACTTGTATTGAGTAGATATCATATTTTTTGTTTGCACTCTTTCTTTTATGAAATTGTATAGAAGAGAGTTTGTATCGATCTTTTTTTTTGTTATAAATTTAAAAGTAATATACTTAGTAAAAAAAAAGTTTTAAATAGAAGCATTCTACTTATAAAAAAATATTTGTTATAATTTGTCTATTAAATATAATAAATTTATAAATTATTAATTTTTTATAAATTAATTTAGAAAAAAATCTGCAAATTTGATAAGTAAATTTTATTATTAAGCTAAATATAGAGATACTATATCTAAACCTTTTTTTCTTACTAAATAAATTATTTTTGAACTTCTAATAAAAGTTATAAAATTTATTAAAATATATTTAATAGTAGTAAAAATATTAAAATTAGTTTAGTAATTCTTGAAAAATCTTTAAAAAATAATTCACTAACATATAAAATTTTTTTAAAAAAATTTTATATGATAGCAAAATATTTTTTAAAGATTTCTCAAAAATTACTAGATTAATTTTAATATTCTTATTATAGATAATGATAAAACTTGTAAAACTTTTAGTAAATAATAGTAAAATTGATAAAACTAATAAAATTTAATATAATAATCAATTAGATTTTAAATAATTATTAGGTTTATCAGTATTATTTAGTTTTACTAATATCTATCTTTTAAACTATATATTTTAATATACAAATTTGTATATTAAAATTTTTAGAAAAAAATTAAGATATAAAAAAATTTTTTAACAAAACTTCTATTCTAATTAATTATAGCAATTTTCAAAAATATATATCATATAGTATACTCTGCAGTTATAGTATAAAATACTTTATATAGTCTAAACAAAAGCAAAACTTCATCTAATAGCTATAAAGTATATTTTGCAACTCAAATTTTGAGCTGCTATATCTTTATAGTATTATTTTAAAAACTAATAATATAAAGTTAAGAATAAATATGTGCGTAGTATCCTGTGATATACT